AGATTTCAGAGAAAATCAGGAAACAAGTTGTTATACAGCAATTTAAAAATGAAAAAAAAAAAAACTTATGTACAAACCAAGGGGTGTTTTTAGAACATTGTATAGAAATAAATTGATGTAAAAGGATCAGAGGCAGTGGAGCTGCTGATGTAAACAAACATGGGAGAAGCTGTCTGGCGTGTTAAGGGTCATAGGAGTTGACAGTGTGAGGAACCAGTGGTGGTGTGAGGCCTGTGTGTGCTTGCGCAGCCACAGACGGCACAGCTTGGTTCTCTTGAGTACTGACCTCTGAGTGTTTCTGCACACAGGTTCTGTTGTGGAGACTGCACTGCCTAGACATGAGAATAAGGTTGCAGTAAAGTATGAACAAAGCAGCTGTGCTCCCATCAAAACCAAAGGGAGCATACATGGCCCCTTGAAAGGACCGTACTCCTACCTCAGCCTCACTGTTGCTTGGTATTAATTTGAGTTGCCAGAGTGTACACATCTTAATTACTTTTCTCGTTGCTAAAACAAAATACTCAGCATCCACAAGCTAAGGGAGGAAAGGTTTGTTTAGCTCACAGTTTATAGAGGCCTCAGTCCAAAATTGTCTGGCTCCAAAGCAGTGTAGAGAGGCATCGCACAGGAGAAACAGTCCATGGCAGGCAGATAGGAAAACCAATAAGGGACCTTAGCGTTTTTCTGCCCCTATTATCCTGGATACTTAGGGATGGTAGCACTCACTCCTTAATCCAAGTTCCCTCGGGCCTACGATTATACCATGAATCAATGCGAGCCTTTCACACTGTATCCAGCCAACTCAGAAAGCCCCACCTATGACCGCATGAGGCTTTGGGGGACATTTAGACACAAGCTATGACATCACGTACATGTTTATTAGACTGTGGGACCTAAAACTAGATTTACAGTGGTAGAAATCATCATTAATGAACAGTGCAAAACACAAGCTGGGTGTCCTGGCTCATGTGTATTACCCTGGCACACAGGCTGAGTCAGTAAGAAGCCGATGAGTTAAAGGCCAACCTGAATTACATAGACTTAAAAGTAAAAAATCCCATCCCAAATGAGTGGTGATCACATTCTCCTCCCACATACCATGTACAGGGTGTCAGGAAACTAAGACTTGCTACCCTGGCTCTGCCATGGACCACTGTTGGCCATGTTTCTGCTTCAGCTGTTAATTGAGTTAATACATTCCTACCAGTGGTTCAGAGCCACCCACTAGTAAGCCCCATTGTGAATGTGTTAAATTACTAAGATTGCTTTCTGAAAATTAAAAATCTTTCTTGAGCACTGAAAAATTTGTGGCCAGGCTCACACCTAGAGACTGATGGTTTGCCTGGGACTGCTGGTTGATACTATTCAATACCCATTGGAGTGTGGATAAGCAATTTCTGCTTAATTGGGGCCAGGCAGCAATAATATGTCAATATGTAGTGCATCGCATGTGAGCAGATATGCTGTTTGCCTCTTTCTTCATCACCAGATTTAAAGTGGAACCTCATTGCACAGAAAAGGAAAAGAGCACAGAGATGAAATCAAGGGTGTGATGCTTGTGATAGAATGAGGTCTTCTAGTCTGTGCTGCTGCATCTTAGCACCTGCTCTCTAGGGAAGGGTCCACCTCGCCCTTTACATAATGGATCTACACTGCATGACAAAGTCAGTCATATTAAAAGCCTGATGTGTGACATCACTTACTTTGAAGGATTGTGAACTATGGCTAACACTTAGATCCAAGATACTACTGGCTCTGAATTCTGTTTTCCTAAGATCACATCCTGTCATGCCCCTCCCTTTTATGGTGATGAAAAATGGTATTGACTGCATTATAGATGACTGCCGTAATGGCTGGCATCTAACTGGCCCAGCTGTGGTAAAGCTCAGTGCCCCAGTCCCTTCAGAATCATGATGTTAACATCACATATAAATTCAAATAAAAAGAATGGAAGGGCTGGGGTGTATTTGGTTGTAGAGTGCTTGCCTAGCATGGGCCAGGCCCTGGGTTCTAACCCCAGCCTGAAGAAGAAAAAACAAAAATATGGCCTCTCCTTAAGAGAAGTGAGGGTAAGGTCAGAAGTTATGTTTTCGTGTATGTGACAGTATAAAGCTCAGGAGCTGATAAAAGTGCAATGTTTTGTAATTTTTGTACTTTTAAGTAGAAAGTTTTAAAATAACGACTGGTGTAGCTCAGTGGTAGAGTGCCTACTTCCTCCATAAAGCCCTAGGTTCAATTCCCAGAACCAAAATAAAAATAATCTGTAAGAATATTTGCATGAGTGAACAGAAATGCAAGAGGGTTTAAATTTGCAAGGCCTCCAAATCCTAAACTAAGCTGCCTTGGAGAAACTCTTGCTTCAGCCAGGACCTGCTTTGTCACTAGATTCATAATCTGCAAAAAGAAGTTGGAAACCCCATTCACTGAAAAGTGATATTTATGGAATACACTTCTAAAGGGAAACGTTTTCCCCCCATTACCATACCTTCCCCTGTGGGAGGGGAAAAAAAGTTTGTTAGACAATGCAAAATGGCGACTACCGTGACGTCATACCTGTTCTGGTCTCGCACTGGAGTGTTAGTAAGGGCGGAAGTGCGTTATAGCAACCTCGACGTGAGCTGTCGTGAATACCCACGCCAAAGGAAAGTTAAACCTCGGGCGGATATGTCGGGCTGGATCCTTAGTAAGGGCGGAAGTACTCTTTTTAAGGGCGAAAAAGATCAGAGCTAAGAATAGCTCCACCTCCCGTCGTCCCAGTCACTTCCGTGGCGGATCGGAAGTTGCTTTGTTTTGCTTCAAGATGGCTGCTGGGATGTATTTGGAACATTATCTGGACAGTAAGAGCAGGCTGGAGGAGGGGGTCAGGGTTCACAGAGTGGTGGGCGACCGGGCCGAGAGGGTCTACGGCCTCGAAGTGCTGGGGGCGAGAAGGTTCCAATTATGAAGGGGATGTGAGGGCGGAAATGTTAAGGGGTGCGAAGAACGAGGGGGCGGGGCAGAAGTGCAGAGTCCTTGGTGCGGGGTGCAGAGGAGGGAGGGACTGCGCTGTGGGGTGCAGGGATTGGTCTTGAGGGGTCACCAGGCGTGGCTAGGAAATCTTTGCTACCTCTGCACTCCCTTGTCTTCTCTAGCCTCAGGCTAGACTTTTTTTTCCCAAAAAATCTTCCAAAATCAGTTGCATTCACTGCCGTTTGGAGCAGCGGCAAAGACCTCCGGTATACTGCAGCCAGTTGTTTCTCAAGTGGCCTGTCATGAGCAGGGGACAGGTGGGGATGAGGGGCAGACGATCTACTGAAAAGATCCAATTCCCACCAAAGGGAAATATGGAGTTATGTTTATGCTATTTGTGTAACCTTCCCCTTCACAAAGCCTGTCACCCTGCGCACTTATGTATGTCTCACTGGAGAGTCATTTATTTAACAGATACTTACTGAGGAACTGCTATGGATCAGATATAATACAGGTACTGGGAAAGTAATAAATCGAGTAAAGGGTTGGCATTGTAGCTCAGTAGTAGAGTGTCTGCCTAGCATACCTAATGCCCAGAGTTCAGTCCCTAGCCCTGCAGAGAGAGAGATGGGCAGGCAGGCACACAGCCTCTGCCTTTTAGAAGCTCACGGAGTAACAGGAAACAGACCGCAAATTAAATAATTATCAAACAGTAAATCCAGGCGTGGTGGTGCACACCTGTAATTCCAACACTTGGGAGACTGAGGCAGAGGGATCGCTGAAGTTTGAGTCCAGCCTGGGCCACGTAGTGAAACAAAAAAAAAAAAACAACAACAACAAAAAAGGAAAATACAGGAAATGTTGCAAACACATTGAAATGACAGTTGATAATCCCCCAAAGAGATGGGCTATGTACGTGGGGCTGCAGGCTAATACAGACAAGGTGATTCTGTATAGGTTCTTGAAAGCTAAGCTCATTTGCCAGTGCAGAGAAAGAAAGTGAACTCGTGGTTGAGGAAAGCCTCAGCACAGGAATTGTGAGGGATATGTGGTAAAGTCAAGGGAAAATGAGGGCAGAGTGTTGATAGGTATAATTTGAAGGTGAGCGATTTGGAGGCAGTGACAGGGTAGGGGAGAGGTTGAGGCCAGAATGGACAAGGTGTTCTAAGGCAAGCTAGAAAGTTTGCATTTGAAAGTAGCTCGTGCACTTTCATAAAGGGAGCCTGTTGACATGGCAATTCACAGCATGATGTTGGCAGCAGGCAGGTCACTTAGTGAGGACAGTCCAGGTCAGAGAGCCACAGAAGTGTTTAGGAGTTAAAGGCAACACTTCCCACTAAGTGGTTCAGAGAAAGAAAAATCTAATGTGACTTCTTCCTGCTTGGAAAATGAGGTAGGCAGTCAACCATTAACAAGATAGGAAAGTTAAGAGTGATTATTATGATGTATTTTAATTCATTTTATACGAAAACAGGAATGGTAAATATCTATGAATGTGAATGGAATGAGATCTTTCGAAGAAAATAGAGAAGTTCAAGTCCAGCCTGAACTTTGTAGTGAGACCTCATCTCAGAAAAAAAAAAGAAAATAAAGAAAATGAAGCCTGCTGGCAGCCTGAGGCAGGAGGATTGCAAGTTTGAGCCCAGCCTGGGCAACTTAGCAATTTAGCAAGATCCTATTTCAAAATAAAAAGGGCTGGAGCATGGTGGCGCAGGCCTTTAATCCCAGCACTCCGGAGGCTGAGACAGGAGGATTGCTATGAGTTCGAGACCAGTGTGGGCTACATAGTGAGTTCCAGGTCAGTCTCAACTACATAGTGAGACCCTGTCTCAAAAAAACAAAAACAAAAAAAAAGTGCTGGGGATATAGCTCAGTGTGAAAGCCCTGGGTTCGATCCCTGGTACTGGGGAGAGAGACAGGAGAGAGGAAATCTAGAGATGTAATCTCTAGAAAATATTAACATTTAAGGGACAGGCTAAGAAAGCATCAGTGTTGTGACTACCAGAAGGTGTATGATCGGAACCTAGGAGAATGAGTTACCAAGGGAAGTAGAGAGAGAGAGTACCTAATGCCACTGAAGTGTTTTTAAGAGAGTACTAACAATAACATCATTTGATTTGGTAACTCGTTGGTAACTTAAAATAATCTCTGAGCTAGTGGTGGTGGACCGAGATAAATTAAAACATTTTAAAATTTGAAGTGGAGTTGTAGGTTGAGATTTCTCTTGTATGGGTTAGACTTGATGCCTTTATATGAGTATTCACTGAGTACGTGCTGTATGCAAGTCAGGACTGCTAAGCACTAGGGAGAGGACAGAACAAGACAGGTGTTGTACGCCTCCTGGAGAGCTAGGGAAAAGGCACCAGCTAAGTAATTAGACAATTATTTAATTACAGTTAGGCAAGTGCTAAAAGAAAGAAAAGTAAGGACCAGGTTTTAGCTCAGTGTCACTGTACCTGCCTTGCAAGCATGAGATCCTGAGTTTGATCCCCGTTATGCACAGTGGTGCACACCTGAAAGCTCAGCTGCTCAGGGCTGAGCCAGGAGGATGGAGAATTTGACAGCAGCCTGGGCAGTTTGGTGAGAACTTGTCCAAAACTGTTGAAAAGAAATAAATAAAAAGGGCTAGGATGAAGCTCTTGTCACACTCCTTGCCCAGCATGCACAAAGCTATGGGTTCTAATTCCTATTCCTGATACTACTGAAAGAAAATAAAAAGAGAATACTGTGATAGCCTATACATACAGTACTTGGCAGAGTTCGGGAAAGTCAGGTCGGGCCTAGTGTGTGTTACTTATTTATTATTTATTTTTCAGTACTGGGGATCCAACCCAAGACTTCACACTGAGTTTTTTTGTTGTTGTTGTTTTTTTTTTGTACCACGGATGGAACTCAGGACCTCATGCTTGTGAGGCAGGCAACGGAACCACTGAGCTAAATCCCCAGCCCACCTTTTTTAATTTTTATTTTGAGACAGGGCCTCAGTAAGTTACGAAATTGCCCAGGCTGGGTTGAATTTGTGATTCTTGTGCCTCAGCCTCCCAGAGTACTGGGATCACAGGCCCCTGCCTACACTTGGCTTGAGCAAACTCTGAAGAATGAACATTAATAGCAGGCCAGGAGGTACTATGGGGATGGGATAGGGAAGGCCAGGCAGGTTCCAGGTGGAGAACAACAGGGAAGGCATTTGGGGCCTCAGAAAGCCAGTGTGTTCAGATGGGAAGGGACCCCGAGTGCAGGGAGCAAGGGCCAAAAGTGCAGAACTCCTGCTGGCCTTGAGAGATTGTGGGGAGGCTGTGAGCAAAAGAGTGACCCAGCCACATTAGCTTTTCTTTTTATGAGACAGTTTATGGAGTTTCTGGGTTGGCCTTCAAGCTCTTCACAGTCTTGCTTTAGCCTAGGAGAGGCTGAGATTAGGGGACACACCTGGTTACTTTACTCTCCCTGCTCCCCCCAGGGCCTTCACACTGAGTCCATCCCCAGCCCCTTCCTTTTTGTTTTGAGGGCCAGGAATTTAGCTCAGTGGTTCCACTACCTGCCTTTCAAGTGCAAGGTCCTGAGTTCCATCCCCAGTACCAAAATAAATAAATAAATAAACAAACAAACAAATAAATAAGTTTTTGTTTGAGACAAGGTCTTGCAAAATTGCTCAGACTGGGTTTAAATTTGGAATCCTCCTGCCTCACTTTCCCAGAGTACTGGGTTTATAGGTGTGCATCACCATACCTGACAGTTTACTTTTGTTTATTTGTTTTCACCATCAATTTTTTTTTTTTTTTTTTTTGGTACGGGGCTCAAACTCGGGTCCTTGTGCTTGTGAGGCACCAGAACTACTGAGCTAAATCCCTGGCCCCACCATCATGATTAATGAATAGACATTTTATTGAAATTATGTCACCTACAGGAAAAAAGGAAAGGCCAACAAGAGAGTGTAGAGTGTGTTGTTCAGAGAAAGACAATAACGCAAAAGGAATTTGGAAAGAGACTAGATGCTACTGTCCAGATTATAATGTTGTGTTGTATATTGAATGTTTTAAGATACACCACACACAGAAAAATTGTTGAATAAATTTGATAAAATTATCATTTTTATCTTTTCTGTTATCTTATAAAAATTAACAATAATATATAATTTTTGGTCATCCTATATTTAAATAATTCATCTGATAAAAATGCCTTGATCATAGCTATAGCTGTAATTTTTGTTTGCTGGAACCTTAATGGCAAGAAGAATTTTATGTTTTTAAGTGACTTTTTTTTTTTTAAAGGGGAAGGGGTTTATTTGGCTTACAGTGTAGAGGTTTCAGTGCCTAGTCAGTGGTAAACAGGCATTGCAGAAGAGAAACAGCATGGCACCTGTAAGGTAGCAAAGGAGTTAACAGTATCTTTCTGCCCCTTTTATCTTATCCAAACTACTGAGGGCAGGCAGCACTCACTCCCTTAATCCTGGTGCCCTTGAGCCTAGCATTGCATCATGAATCAATTCCAGCTTCACACACTAGATCAATTAGGCTTTGGGGGGACATCTAGACCCAAACCCTAACCTTCTACCCCTGGCCCCCACCAAAGACTTATATACATTCCTTTATCATTGAGTTGCCATCTCTAAGAGTTGCCAAGGTCCTGAGTTTCAGCATTGCTGAAAAGTCCCAAATCCAAAGACTTCTCTGAGATGTAAGGCAAGCTCCTATACAAATGAAAAGAAAGTCAAACACTTCCAACATTCAATGGCACAAGATAGACATTCCCATTCCAAAAGGAACAAACAGGAGGACATGAAGGAAAGGGACCAAAGGAAATCCAAAATCCAGCAGGGCAAATATAACATCCCACGGTTCCACTTCCAGCATCAAAGGCAATCTGTGGCAAAGTTGTGAATTCTAAAGGGCCTGGTGGCTCCATCCCTAAGGCCCTTATTGTAAACTTCTGGAGTCTCCACTGCACCTTGGGCTTCACACTCACAGCCTCACACACTGCCCTCTCAGGCGCACCCTGCTGGGCCTCCCAGGCCTTCTTCTGAAATCTGGGTGAAGCCTTCCTGACCCCATAACCCTTGCATTCTGCAAATGCTTAAAACCAGCACCACATGGATGACGCCAAGGTCTGCTGCTGCCAGCTGGAGTAGTAGTAGCCAGTCCTCCCTCTGTTGACTGAAGGGGTCCAGTGCCTATGAACCAAATCCTGAGGAACAACATCCCTAAGCCACCATTTTGGAACAACTTCCAGAGGCTGCCACCATTCTGGGTCTTTCTCCTGACAGTTTACATTTTTAAAAACAATGTTCAGGCTACTTGTACAGAGAGTAGATTGGAAGTATATCAAGTAATGGGTAGTAGAAGGTAGTAGGATAGTATTTATTTTTTGGTTTGTTTGTTTGTTTGTTTGTTTTTCGTGAGACAGGGTCTCACTATGTAGTCCAGGCTGGCCTTGAACTCACTCTGTAGCCCAAGCTGTCCTCAGACTCACAGTGATCTTCCTGCCTCTGCCTCCTTGGTGCTGGGATAACAGAAATGCACCACTATGCCCAACATTAGGTTTTTTTTTTAGTCACAGTCTAGGTATATAGTCTCGGCTGACCTTGAACTTATGTTAGTCCTCCTGCCTCAGCTCCCAGAGTACTTGGACTACAGTTATGCACCACATATCCGGCAGTGTGGCATTTGTAAGTTGAGGGCAGGGAGCATGGAGACTGACTGAAACTAAAGGAAGGGAAAAGCTGAGGTAGGACTCAGAAGGGAACAGCAGTGGACAGTTTTGCAGAGTTGAAGTTAATTGTGGGGAGAGAGAGGCAAACACAGCCTTTTCTGAGAAAGATGTGATTGCTGTCCCAGATCTAGAGGTTTAGCTGAGGGAAAATCGAACTGCACTTTACAGGCACCATGGAGACCAGGTGTTGTGCATGCCTGTAAATGAACTTAGAAGCTGAGGCAGCAGGACTTCAAGTTTGAGGCCAGGGCTGGGGTTTTAGCTCAGTGGTTCCACCACTTGCCTTACAAGTGCAAGGTCCTGAGTTCGATCCCTGGTACAAAAAAAAAAAAAAAAAGCCAAATAAATGTTTGAGGCCAGCCAGGGCAGCTTAGAAACTTAGCAAAACCTTGTCTCCAAAAAGGGCTAGGGATTAGCTCAGTGCAAAGGCCCTGGATTCTGTCTCTAGTACCTAAACAAAAAAGAAAATGCAGTGATTGAAGTATGACTCAGTATGAACGCACACCGAGGCTGTGTGTAGTACAGATCCTCAGTTTTCTCTCTTCCCTAGGTATTGAAAACCTCCCCTTTGAATTGCAGAGAAACTTTCAGCTCATGAGGGACCTGGACCAAAGGACAGAGGGTAAGTGCCAAGGGGGTTTCTGTGTAAACGGGGACACATGACCATGTACTCTGCCTGCTAGGACTGTGTCATCTGGCATGATCTGAAGAATTGTGGCTTTTGTAGTCTCTCACAAGTCCTTGTTCTTTCTTTTTCTGTCTTGTAAATCTTTAAAACTGTTTTGTTTTCTTGTAATTCTTAAGAGACTATTTACCATCATTTTTGCATCAGCTTTTTTATAACAAACGGAGAATTGAGACAGTGCCTCAAGAATTCATAAGCTAAGCCAGGTATGGTGGCGCATGCCTATAATCCCAGCACTCGGGAGGCTGAGGCAGGAGGATTGCTGTGAGTTTGAGACCAGCCTGGGCTACACAGTGAGTTCCAGGGCAGTCTGAACTATATAGTGTCTCAAAAAACCAAA